TGTAAATCTATTGTTACCTCTAATGAAACTAAGCAACGATATATACAGTAATTAATTAATAAGAATAAAATTGTAGCAGTCCTTTAGAAAATACCAAGTATTGACAACAACATGGAGCAGCTGGAAATCTCTTAGGCAGCTAGTAGGAAGGCAAACTTGTACAACCACTTCGGGAAACTTTTGGTATGTCTAATACAGCACCGTATACAATCCCCGTGACCCAGCAAAGCCATTGGTAAGCAAATATCCAAAAGAAAAGCATGCAGGTAGTCACTTCATGACAAGTTCTAGAATATTCCCAATACTCTATGCCTAATAACCTGAAACTGGAACCTATCCAAGTGCCCGACAAAAGTGGAATGGATAATTTATGGCACATTCATACAAACAACGGCTCCACAGCAATGATTAAAAAAACTGCAGTCACATACTATGTGGAAAGTATCTTAAACATAATGTTGAAAGAAAGAAGCCAGGTACAAGAGCACACGACTCTGTTTACATGAAGTGCAGCACCCAGAAAAGTGGCAACATACTGCCAGGAGTCAGGAGAGTGGTTAGCACGGTGGACAGGTGAGCTGGGGGACAGCTGGGGCGGCGGGCAGGGCCTGGGACTGCCATTGAGAGGCTGAGAGGCAGGTCGTCTTCTGCACCTGGAGCTGGGTGCTGGGTACGCAAGCAGGGTCTGTCCGGGAAATTCACTGGGACAGCACATATATTAACGTGCCTTATATTACACTATATATATATTTCAATATATATACATTGTGTTTGAAAACTTAAAAAATTGTTACAGGTCTTAAGAACTTACTATCTAATAGAGGAGAAAAGGCTTTTATGGATAAAATTACTATATAAATTATAGAAATAGAATAGAATGCAAGAAGTCAAATGTGCAATTATTTTAAACAGGACTCTATTGTATGTACTAACAGAAGTCCTACTTAAACTCACCTAAAGCATATACTGAATACATTGGCTCTTGTATATGAAAATTTCAGGAGGTAAATAGAGTTTCAAGTGTAATTATATAAAGGGGCCCCTATAGATTAGAGAGATGGATGATGGATGGATGGATAGCTACACGGGTAGATAAAATCACCTTTTAACAATTGTGCACCTGGAAAGAAAGAAGTCTGTTTCCTGCAGATCAAGGTTAAAAGCTGTCCCTGTCGGCCTCCAAGGTATGCTCCAGCTACCCCGCCGACGGCGCCACTGCCCACTGGGCCGCCCCCGGCCACCGCTGAGCATCCGTGACTGCTTCTGCGCCTTTGCTGGCCTTCATCCTCCCGTCCATCCTTTCAGTCCCAACTTGAACTCTGACACGTCCACAAAGAACAGCAGTCTCTTTGCCAAAGAACTGTGTTGTACTTGGACACAATCAAGTGACAAGGTAAGTTTTCCTCTGCCCACTCCTTCTTCCCAGGGAATACAGGGAGTTGCATTCTTAATGCAAATGGTGAGCAGCGCCCAAGGCTGTGACAGATTAGGTCTGTGTCAGCTGTCGAATGGGAGGTTTGTTACGAATATGTGCTGTCTGGAGCAGCGCCCGGCAGGGCAGCTTCCCAGGTTCAGGGGCGAGCCTACCCGCCATGCTTTCCTCATCCTCTGCCCAGGGAAAAACCTTGACTCTCAGCCAGGGCCAGAGGCTGACCGGGAGGAGCATTGGGCTCTGGGGTTGGGCAGAAAGGCCCGAGTCCACAGCGCCCCTGAGAGAGGATCAGGAGCCACAGGGGGAGGGACGCCGTTCTGCCCACTTGTAGTGGGAACATACAAATATTAGGCAAGAAAAACACTGCAGGTCCCAACCTATGCTCTGCCTGTGACATATTTCAGTCAGACTTTTCAGATGATAGAGTACTTTGTCACCCTCCCGATGTAACAGGGAAATGGGACAAGGGTAAATAGTATTGGTTTGTAATTTAACTGTTTTGACTGGTGCTCTTTTTCTTGCAAGTTCTACACTATCCAATCAAACCACTTGGAAGCCTTGGCGTGGAAGGAAGCATTTTTTCCTCTTTTATGATGCTGCCCTCTGCTGGATATTAGGAAATTCACAGGCAAAGACATTTGGTTTGTTTCCAAAGTTTTGTGAGGGTGTGATTTAGTAATTCAGGTCCAAGATTGCTTGGGAGGTGGAGGGGGAAGGATTTTCTGTAAAAAAGTAAATAACTCACAATTAGAAAGCAATTAAATATTTTGTTTTTGCAATTATGAAAAAGCAGAGGTGATTGTGAAATACATGTGCCTGTGTTTCCCATGAATATGAAGTGCTATCGCCCTTTGGGGCAGTGACTTTGTAGTCATAAGAGTAATTTATTTTTTATTTTTAAAAAGATTTTATTCACTTATTTTTAGAGAGAGGGAAAGGGAGGGAGAAAGAGAGGGAGAGAAACATCCATGTGTGGTTGCCTCTTGCGCATCTCCCATGCGGGAACCTGGCCCACAACCCAGGCATGTACCCTGACTGGGAATAGAACTGGTGACCCTTTGGTTCACCAGCCAGCACTCAGTCTACTGAGCCACACCAGCCAGGGCTAGAACATAAGAGTAATTTTAAAAGAGCATGGCCTTTGATCATGTCCATCTTCTCCGATAAATCCAGATACCAGAAATAATTTTTAAAACTAAAGGTACTCACTCTGAAAGTTGCTCATCAAATTATGCCCACAAACATCCAGGAGAGACTAATGGCTAAAGAGACTGGATATATCCACAACAGGAAGGTGTGCAAGCTGATTTTTTAAAGGACCTTTAGCAACTTAGAAAATGCATATGCCACACTATTCAAGCCTAGCAGCCCTTGACCAAGGATGCACTGATCACCTAAAAACTGAAAATACAGATTTTTCAGATCCCAGCCAAAAAGGTTCTGCTTCAGATGAACTGGGGCGTGGCCTGGGCATTGGCATTCTGGGAAAGCCCTCCGAGTTTGTCTCCTGATTACACACCTGATAGAAAACTCTGAATTAAAGGAAGAAATCAGGATGCCAAGTGGCATTTATATTTCGACTTTAATTCAGTAGTACATCTGATTGCACGTGGGCAGGAACAAGGAGGGAAGAGGGCCCAGTGTCTGGATGACTTGGAGATATGCTCTCTCTTGCAAAACACCTACCAAAATTAGAACCAGATTCAAGGATGCTGGGACTGTGAGAAGTATATAAATAATATGTGTAATGTCATTGAATATGATAGCATTTAAAAATGAGTTGAGTGATGTTTTCTAGCTGTTTACTGACATGTCAATATAGAAATTAGCCTTCTGCAGCTGCAGAAACCACTGTAGTTCCCAGCTTGGTTGCACGTGGCTTAGGCCCTCTTCCTGGAACAGCAAAGTGGCCCACGCATCCCTGATCCACGCTGGCACAATCACGTAGGCCAGACACAGTCCAGCAGCCCAGGATCACACACCAAGGGAGCAGGCAGCCTGGCAGGAGGAGTCCTGTTTTGCAGAGACAAGGGACTCGGGGCCTGGTTTTGACTGGCTGCTAACTCACTAAGGGAACTTGGGGGAATCCCTTTCCCTTCTCAGATTATTGTGAAATGAGAGATCTGGGGTCCAAACTTAAATACCTTCAGAGGCCAGGTAATATCGGCGAGTGAGAGAGGCAGGCACTAGGCTGAGGGGAACAGTGAGGGCTGGGAGTTGAGAGCCCCGGCCGCTGGCACGGGGGCGATGACTGCGGCCTCTGCTGGGCGCTCTGCCGGGGCTGCGGGGGGCAGCTGTGCGGGCCGCACACCGCAAAGGGCACCACTTCCGAGCGGTGCGCACAGGTCACAGGTGCGGGCACTCCTCGATGACAGCTTCCTGGAAGACGTCTGCCCAGGGTTTGCAGGAAAGAACGCCTTTTAATTTGCACAAAGGCGCTGTGTCACCATGCAGCTCCCAGGCTGCCAGGTCTACCTTTTTTTTCTTTTTTCCTAGAGAAGCTTGAAACACAGCTTTTAATGTGCACGTTTCCCAATTTACAATTAGTTGAGAACTAATTCCAAAACATTTGTGATGTTCTGTGAGCTAAAGAAAACACTTCTGGGCACCAGAGTCAGACTGTGATCGGAGATCTTTGACCCAGATGTACCCTGAGTTGCTCACATGAAACCCTCCTGTCCTGGGCGCCTCATGCGCACGCCCGAAGCCATCCCAAAGAAAAACGAATGACCCTGGCCAGTGGTGTCAGGATAGGATAAGGGATTATGCGGACATAAATAGAACTGCATCCTTTGAATGATGATGTATTTGGCTCCCCCGACTCATCATCTGGTTAACTTTAATTCATCCTTTCTTACTCTAAATGTTATTCTTCCAGAGACAACGTCCAAAGACTTCAATCTAAAGTAGGTTCCCTTGTTACACTCTCTTAGAACAAATTACTTTTGCTGAGTGAACTTGCATCATGAGACGCTGACGCGTGTGAATGTTCACTCCCTGGCTGCCTGCTCACCGTTTGGGGGACATCATGTCTTCGCTCACCACAGTATCCCCGGAGGGGAAATGCCTGGTACAGAGCAGGCACCCAGTATAGATTTATTGAATGATTGATTAGTCTCAATCCCTACCAGAGAAACACCTTCTCTCGTCGGTGTCCTTGACCTGACCTTGCTTCATGGGGTTTGACTTCTGGGCTCCTGACCTTAGGGGATGTCCAGTTTCCATTGCTGAGAAGGGGGTTCTCTGGCATGGCCCCCTCCCCCAGAGATCTCTGAGCCAGAATAGGAACCCTGTTTAAGCCAGTGACGGTCAGGACATCCGTGCGTGGCTTGTAGCAGAAACCTGCCTGGACAGGGGCTGGAGGACTTGCATTCCAGGCAACTCAGACAGATACCTTCTCTGAGAGACAGTCATCTTGGATGCTGGGAGCAGAGGGGGCTAGTTTTCAGACCAGAATTAAATTTTGTTCCCTGTATATATCTAACATTCTGGTTTTATTTCACGTGTTTCACAAGATCATTATTATGCGAAAGAATAGACCAGCCCTCCTGCAGATGTAGGGAAGAAATCTGGTGGCCTTCAAGGCAGATTGCATTTTTCTGACGTGGAAAAGAATTCCCATGGAATCGGCTAAAGGAGCTGATTCCATAAAGTAGCTAAACCTAGAATGAAGCCAGTGATGGTGGGAGGAATCACAGTAGAAGGGAAACAAAAGTCACACAAAGATAACTTCTCAATGAGCAAAAGAGAGAATGAAAGGCAGGAGCAGAGAAAGGAAGAGTAAGGAAGAAAGGGGACCCAGGTGGCTTCCGGAAGTGGACATTATCAGGGGGAGGGTTTCTGTCCAAAAGTCCACCTTCCGCGCTTTCAGCCTCTGTCCCACGCTCAGGTTCAAGTCCAGCTGCAGGTACTGCTCCTCCTGACTGTAGGCTGGCCACAGAGGCAGGCCTTCCCCGTTAGGGTCCCTGGGAGTGAGAGCAGGAGTGGGGGTGAGCTTCTCACCCTCACACACGTGGCTGTGGGGAGGCCGGGGGTTTACTCACCCAGTCCGAGCAAAGTTGGCCCAATATCTCATCATCTTCCTGCTCAGCAACATCTCCTCCTCTGTGGCTCCTTCTGAAGGAGAGAATCACAAAACCCGGCTCCCACAAGCACTGGCCAGAAGCCCAAGGTGCCTCACATTTGACGGAAGCCTTTCACATCTCTCCTCCCACTGGATCCTCACCCGCTTACCAAGCCATTTTACCCATTTTGTATTTGCAGGTATTGAAGCTCAGAGCAACTGTGACTTGCCCAAGAAATCAAGGCTTCCAAAATGGTGGAGGCCAAACACACACGTTCCCTGTGCATTCGGCACACTTCTGGCCATTCCCCTGAGACTACCAGTTCCTTAGGGGACAGGGACCCTCTGTGTATGCCTCTCTCTCTTATTGTATTTCTTTACTTGAAAAAGTAATGCTCAAAGCGCAAAACCCAAAATGCAGAAAGAGCATACAACTTTTTCTCTCCCATCTCTTCTCTCCATAATTACCAGCCTCAGAGGCGACCATTGCTGCCAGGCCCGTGGGCGCCCTCCAAAGGCAGGCTAGACATGTACAAGGGCATAGGCAGACACGTTTTTACCATGCTGTAGTAGAATGGACACAGAGTATGCATCTTTCCTTTTGCTAAAATTCTATCTAAGAGGTAATTGCACAGTGTTGCCTAGGAGACTTCCACTTACTATCAATTATTCTATAAATATATATATTTATGTGTAATTATATAAATATATAATTTGTGTATCCAATATTCTTTGAATGGATCTTTACGTGATATCCAGATTTTTGCTGATGAAAACAATGCTTTAGTGGGCAGGTATACTTTTTGCACGTGTGGAAGTACACTTGAACAAAAAACCCAAGAAATTGAATTGCTAGGCTGAAGACCACATGCATTTCAGATTTTCATAGAGTTTTCCATTAGTATATGAGGTTGTCTGATTTCCCACACCTGCTCCAATAATTAGGAAAAACGTATTGCTCTTCCCAGCCCTGACCAATGAAAACTGAGTCCTCAGTCGAGGTAAGTTTGCAGTTCTCCCGCTGAGAGAGGTTAAGTGGATTTTCATGCTTAAAAGCCACTCGCATTTCCTTTCCCACAAATGATCTATTTATGTCTGTTACCCAGTTTTCAACTGGGTGGTTTCATTGATAGTAGGGGCTCTGTAGATACCAAAGAATTTAACCCTTTGATACATATGTCATTCATTTTCCCCAGTTTGGGGTGTCCATGTGCTCATTAAATAGTCCAGGCTCAGTGAGGGCTGCTGATGGATAATAATATTATCACTCACTGTGTGCCTACGAGAATTATTTTACTTAATCCCCATGCCAACCTAGGAGGTAGTTGTTATTATCTACACTATAAGATGAGAATGAATACATGAAACAATGAATAAACCACTGCGCGCACACCCACTCCGCATGAGAGGCTCTGTCCTCATTGTCAGGAGGCCGGCATGAGCTGGCCAAGGGCCTGCACTGTGCAATTTTTAAAAACGAACTATTTTAGTGACATTTTCTGTGTGTAACTCCTCTAACTTCTTCTGTTGACAACTTCCTCTCATTGGCTTATTATTTTAGGCACTGAATGGGTCGTAAATTCAGGAATAAATGAACTAACCTTAGTAGTAAGAGTTCACAAGCATTTGCATTAGATCACCTGGACCCAGACCATTTTGGGCTGGGATTCTGAAAAACGAGGTTCTTGCCTCTTACCCTGGGTGGTAGCCCCGTGGGAGTTCTGAGAAGGGGAGGGAGGGTAAGACCGGCAGTCAGGGAGATGGAAGAAAGTGGTTCTAATGAAAAAAAATTACATTGCACGAGTGCTCCCATGTGCCCACCCTTTAGGCTTTAGTACAAAGAGAAACACCCATCAAGTAAAGGTTGGCAAGCTCTTTCTCATCTTGGTTTCTAAAAATATTGTAAAAATACAAGTAGGGGGCATTTTCCAGGGGAAGGCTATGTTTGTAAACCATAGGTTAAATAAGTAAACTAAAATCAGTCCCCCGGCTCTTACATAGTTTGGGCCAGGTAAGGGGCTCCATGCAAACAGTGGGGAGTTGCATTCTCCCCTCAGCTCCTCCTCATCCCAGTGTTCCCATGAGAGCGAGGGCCCGCGAGGCCAGCTCCTCACCGAACATGATGATGTCGCCCTTCAGGAAGGCACCTCCGAAGACAAAGCGGATTTCATCAGTGTGGTCGGCTTTGACGAAGGCCGGCTTCCTGTCCTTCAAGAAGTGGGGCCGGTGCTGAAACTCATAGAAGTAAACAGGCGCACCAGCATCTGCAGAGACAGAGGGGAGAGACCATGGCAGGCGCCGGGGCGGGGCAGCCAGGGCAGTGCAGGGGCACAGTGCGGGCCCCGCATCCCTACTCACCCAGTCCTGGGTCCGCGGACCCACTGTGGGGAGGCGACTTGAACAAACCTAACGTCCCTCTTCCTTGTGGGAGGCCAGCATTTCCTGCTCCAGAGGCCCTTACTGCCCCGGTGACAAGAACTCGCTGCCCCGCAGGGCAGCCAGGGAGGGCAAGAGCTCTACTTTTCAAAAAAAAGCCCTTCCTGCTCATCCAAGTCTACCTCCTCATGACTTCCTCTCACTGGCCCAGTTCAGCTGTCTACCAGGGGTGTCCAACCTGAGGCCGACAGGCCGCAGGCAGCCCAAGATGCCTGTGAATGCGGCCCAATGCAGAATCGTAAATTTACTTTAAAAAAGATGAGATTTCTTTGTGATTACATGTCAGAATGTATTTTATGTGTGGCCCAGAGATGCCAAAAAGTTGGACACCCCAGGAAGGTAAACAGAACAAAGTTACCCACGCTTCCAAGAAGCTCCATGCATCCTACGTTCCCTCACTTCTCTTCTACGAAGATCTTCGCTCTCTAGTTTCCCCTCTTGCTCTGAATCGTCACTTTTTTCTATACTGGATAATGGCAATCATGCTCGCAAAGTCTCCCATTAAAGCACATGCACAAACACACATGTGTACACATATGCATGGGCGCACGCAAACATACTCTTGGTCTCATCATCCCCTCCAGTTACTGGCTTACTTTTCCAAATCCTTCTGGTAAGACCTCACAATACAGGTATTATCTCTGCTTCCTCTCCTCTCATTTGCCTTTTAGTTGCAGTATCGTTTATGGACAATAAAGAGCACAGATTTTCAATGCACAGTTTGATGAGTTTATATGTATGATGTGTATACACATTCATGTAACCACCACCCTAGTCAGGATACAGAAAGTTCCTTGTGTCTCCGTGTAGTCACTCTATCAAGAGACACTGTCTTTATTCCTATCGCCATACATTAATTCTTCCTGTTCTTGACCTCCACACACATGGAATAGCTCAATATGTACTCTTTTGTGTCTGGCTTCTTTTGCTTAGTGTAATGTTTCTGACATTCATCCATGTTGTTGTGTGTGTCAGTAGCTGATTCCTTTTCATCACAATTTATTTATCTGTTCATCTGGTGATAGGCATCTGGGTTCCTTCCAGTTTGGGGCTATCGTGATTAAAGTTCCTATGGATAACCATATGAGAGTCTTTTACATGGACATAGGTTTCACTTCTCTACAGTGAATCCCTAGGGGAAGAATGACTGAGAAATAAGTTAGGTATTTGTTTACTGTTATGAGAAACTGACAGTTTTCCAGCATGGCTACACCATTTTAGATTCCCCACCCCTCCTTGTAGCTAAGACATTTGGGAAGACACTTCCTAACAGCAAGTCACCTGGGAGACTGGCCCCAGAAAATTATGGGAGGTGGGGATTTTCTCCATGGTTGTGAAGAAGGGAAGGAAGGGAAACAGTAAGAACTGATGAACATTCTAGAACTCTGACAGGCCAGGGAATTGCCATGCTTGGCACGTGGGGTTAGATACCAGACACCTTGGGAGGCCCCTCTCAGTGAGAGACCAGAAGGGCAGAGGAAGCGGCCGGTCAGCAGGCACCAAGGATCCTGGCGGCCTCTAGCCTCGCTGTGTTGTGGCCTGAAGAGGGGTGGCTCAGGGACTCACCTCTGTGATATCGGGCTGTGACCAGCCCAGGAACCACAAAGAACACATCTCCAATCAAGTCCAGGAAGCTGTTCCGTATTTCAAACGTGGATTGCTCATCGTGGAAGTATTCATCAGCCACTAAGTGTAAATACTGGGTGGGGATGTGCTGCAAGAGATCAAGGTCACAGGAGGTCCAGGTCAATGAGAGCAGCCCACGTGTGAGGCATGGCCTGTGCAGGCATGATTCTGAGGGCTCTGCACACACCGGCACACTGGAGCCACGCAGAGAGCCTGGGCTGCAAGGATCAAAATCAGCCCCCTTTCACAGATGGGGGGACTGAGGCTTACAGAGGACAGGTGGTGTGTACCAACTGCTAGAATCACGATTCTTTCCCAAGCGTATTTGCATCTAAATTCCATGCTCTTAATGCCTCTCTGAAAAGTCTCAGAATTCGCCACCCCCAGACAGAACTGGCTACCTCATTTGTGGGACCCAATGCCAAGTGAAAATGTGGGGCCTCTTGTTCAAAAACTACAAGAATTTCAAGATGGTGACAACAGAACACCCAACCAAGTGTAGGACCCTCCTGAACATAAGGCCCTCTTTTGAGTACACAGGTCACCCCCCCGGGAAGCTGGCCCTGTTCCTGGTACCAGCACTGCCGCCAGGCCTTGGCTAATTGATCAAAGCTAGATGGTTGCTGGGAGTTCCTTCATCTACCAAAAAATGGGTCGCTCAGAGGGTCTTTAGTTCTGCTGGTTCCCTGAGACCCACTGCCAAGTCCTTCAACAGGGCATTCCCTGCTTTCCTTGACCAGGCTGTCTGTCAGTCTGCTGTCCCTCAACTTGCCCCAAGCACAAGGGCCAGAAAGTGGGAGGTAAATTCAGGAAGGTTCAGGGTCTGCCACATTGGTGACATTCTTAGCGGTCTGCTGCTCTGGAGAAGGCTGGGACAAGTTGGTGCGCCCCAGCCCCCCAACTCTAACACAGAGGCACAGCCCTTCACAGGTTTCTCTGGGGTTTGGAGGTGCCACAAGCCACACCAGGGAGCACTGCTCGGACTTGTCCATTGGGTCCTCCTAAGGCGACTGCCACGATCAGGCTCAGAGCAAGGGAGGGCTCTGGAGCAGGCCCAGGGGCTGGTGCGAGTGCCTGCCACTTGGACCACGTGACCAGCAGACTGCTTGGTGTTCGAAGAACCCAGGGTGGGTAGAGATGCTGTGTGGAGCCTCCAGCAAGCCCAACAGGGCAGTCGGGGCAAGGCTATGCCATCTGCATAGGAGAACAATTTGAGAAGCCCCTCCTGCCATGCTGCCAGGCCCCAGGGGAGAGGGAACCCCCTCCTGGTCCTCATGCACCTTCCCACACCCTCCCTCTTGCTCCTAGGACTTGGCTTAAGAAATGCTCTCTTCTGAAATTCCCTCTCGCTCAGATGTTCCTCTTCCCCAAGGCCCGGATCAATGGCCTCTTGCTCCATGAGGCCATCTGCATCCCAGCCCGAGAGACTCCACTGGCCAGCTTACACTTTAAATACCTCTCTAGCTTTAGTCCTGACTCTCACCCACAGACAGCCAAGACTCATCCCACATCCCTTCCAAGCCTTAGGGCCGGAGGAACCCCTAGCTCCAGTCCGCTCCACTCTGCAGCCACAGGACTCTTGCTCAGATGGATATTGAATCATGTCGCTCTTCCATCCCCAGCCTCCGGGATGAACTTCACATTCCTCCACAGTGTATCACAGCCACGGCACCCTCCCCGGCTGCAGCTGACCCCGCCACTGATCTCTTACTTCTCTGCTCCTTATTGGTTCTCTTGGTTCCTCTGGCTCCCCTCACCGCCGCTCCTCCCGCTGCCAGGCAAACCTAACTCAGGCTCCAAAACCTTGCCCTCCCTCCTGTGGACCCCACGTGGCCTCGGGCATCCCTCGGCCCTGGTTTGTGTAGCAAAGCACTGAAGTGTCTCCTCAGGTCCGCCCACCCCAACAATTTACAGGCTCCTCTGGTGCAGGGGGACGCCTGCTTATCATCGCGCCCCAGTGGCTCGGGGAGTGCTGGGGCATGTGGCCTCTCCACAAACATTTGACCAGCGAACAAATGACTGAGACGAACCTGAAACAGAGTATACACCGAATAAATATTCATGGAAAAATGAGAGGGAAGAAGGAGAGGAATCCACCTCTATATCCTTGTGTCTGGGATGTACTTGTGCAGGGAGTGAATGAATAAATGGTTGAATAATGGTCCGTGGAGTTTCTAGAACCCAATACACGCCTGGCTGGCATATAGCGAACATGAGTCCCTAGTCCCAGGTGGGTTTCAGAATTCAGAACTTACCAGAGCTGTGTGTAACATGTGCAGGACGACGGACTTGTTGGAGCCCCTGAGGACCTCAGGAAACTCTTTCTGCGGAGAGAAGCAGGGAGCCCTGTGAGCACATTGGGTCATCAGAAGGGAAGCTGGTCTCTCTGAGGGCACTGGCGCCTGCCTTTCAGAGGGTAGACTGGGAAAAGCAGTAGCTAATTCGGCCCCCGGGGGGCCACGTGTAGAAGCAGCCTCAGTGGGTTGGTTCAGCAACCCAGTTTCTTCTTCTCACATTTCATAAAAGGCAGCCATTGCCCATTACTCCTGCAGTCCTGTGGGACCCGAGTGGCTTCCCTGAGGAAAGGCCATGTTATGGGCTGCATTGTGTCTCCTACAAGATCCTATGTTGAAGCCCTAACCCCAGGACCTCAGACTGTGGTAATGTGTGAAGACAGGGATTTTAAAGAGGCGATTAAGTGAAAATGAGGACCTTAGGTTGGGCTTTAATCCACTCTGACTGATGTCCTTATAAGAAGCAGAAATGTGGACACGCAAAGAGATACCAGAAAGGTGTGCACAACAGAGAATAGATCATGTGAGGACACAGCTAGAAAGCGGCCACCTCTAAGCCAAGGAGGGAGGCCTCAGAAGAAACCAAACCGGCCAGCGGCATGATCTTCAACTTCCCAGACTCCAGAACTGTGAGAAAATAAACTCCCGCTGCTTAACCCACCCAGCTTATGGTGTTTAGTTAGCTACGGCAGCCCTAGCTAACTAACACAGGCCCCATCTGGGCCTCGACGCCAAGATGCAATGAGAGACCAGAGACTCTCGAACCCAGTGGTTGGCTGTTTTCTTTCTAAAGACTTTTGCAGTCAGGGCCTCTGAGAAGCCAGTCCCTGGCAGGGAAGTGGTGACACTGCTGGTTAAGAACACCGGCTCTGCTTGGTACGCAGTGAGAGCTACGAGAAACTACTTGTTAAATGACAACACCTGCTCCGCCCCAACGGCCGCTATTAAAGTTTTAAAATGAAGGAGTAAGAATACTATTCATTGTCAAGTGAATTTCCCTGGTGCTTTTTCTGCTAAAAAAATTTGAATCAGAGGGTAGATACTTATACCTCTCTGTCTCCTTGTCTGCTTCCCAGACTCCTGGAACCTGAGGGAATCCCCGGAGTTACGAAGTTATGCACAAGTATAGCTATACTATGAGGGACCCTCTCTGCATGTTCAGATGCTGGGATTTGTGGCCATCGGCTAACTTTATAACTTGACAAACCTCTGTATTTCATAAGTTCATTCCCCCCAGCTTGAGAGGAGGTCGGGCTATATAAGTGAGCTTTGATGGTATAAATTTGAACACTCCAGTCTTCTGAGGAAAGATGAAAAGTTTATTTGAAATGCGGAGGGTCTTCTCAAACTACAAGCTCAAGGAGGCCTGGCTCATTCTCTGCCTTCGGGCCTCAGCTCAAATGAGTCTCCCCGAGAAACCTTTCCTGACCACCCTTTCTCCTCCCTAAGGAAGCTTTCTCCCCCCAGTTCACGTCCTTCGCAGCCCTTGCATTCTCGGAAACCTTGTACTTCATCTGTCTCTGCCCTCAGAAATGGAAGCTTGCAGAAAGCTGGAGCTGTATGATCTGTTCACAGTTGCATGCCTGGTTTTTAATATAAGAGCTTAGCGCATATAGTAAACACTCAGTTCATTCTTGTTGAATGAATGAAATGGTTCAATGAGTTTGCAACTTGCACCACCTTAGATAACATTCTTGGAAATCCAAATGCCCCAACTGAGGCTGAACATGAAAGTGTAAAGGCTGGAAGTTTTCTGAACCTACACGAATTTCACCTTTGAAGTACTTAGTAGCTGTGCTTATTTGAAACAATCATTTGTCATGTTTTGAACACAGATCGAATGGTTCCAATTATCTCTTAGCATTGCACAGGGTTGTTTCCTTCGCTAAAAACCTACACGGGGGAGGGTGGACACTTGCTAAGGCTGACCCCAGACCTGTTACCCTCCCTCAGAGAGGGGGAAGATGACCGCTCTGTGCCTGGCTAATGGGCTCCAGCCCTCACAGCACTTGGTGTCATCCGTGGGAGTGACCCGCCAGGGAAGCAAACCCTGCCTCACTGTCGAGGGAGCGACGGAAGGCACAGATGGAATTCTTACCACCGGCAGCAGGAAGCCAAACTCGTGGTTATTGACTCCGATGATAGAAGGAACGGAATTAAATGTTTTTTGAATCAATAGTTCTAGAGGCTTATCAGGAAAGAAGAAACCGTCAACCACTGTAGTGAAAGACTTGGTTTTCTGAAATAAGAAGAGAAAGGTTGGAAGCTGTCTCTGTTCGCAAAATCTGCTGTCCCCACACCCTAGCCATGCTGAGCCAACCCAGTCTAGCAAAATGTGATGAGAAAGGGAAAATAACCCACTCTGGGCTCTTCCCAATGCATCTGCGCTCCTGGGGAAAGGGGAGCAACTTCTCTGTGCCTTTGTTTCCTCATCTGCTAAGAGGGGACAAAAATAGTATCTACCTAAGAAAGATAGTAGCCTGGCATGGTAGTTCTCCAGGTGTGACCTCCAGACCACCAGCATCAGCGTCACCTGAGAGCTTGTTAGAAATACAGGTTCTCAGGCCCCACCCCAGGCCTCCTGAACACAAAACTCTGGGGGTACAGTCCAACCAACTTAAAAAATAAAACCCCTTCCAGGTGGTTCTGATGCATGTTTAAGCATGAGAACCACTGGCCAAATGCAACAGGCAGAGTGGTGAGGGGCAGGGGTGGCCAGGGTACCAAGGGTTGGTGTGAAACCCTTCCCCAGGTGTCTTCGCTGCCCTGTGCCCGGGGTCAGGCTAGATATTTCTGGGGAATAGAGCAACACTTGGCTCTATTCATGGTTTTATTTTAGGTCTCTGTTTGGAAGTGGGGTTAGACCCTCCACCAGGCCAAAGACTTGCCCACTTCTCAGACCCTAGCACAGCGCACAGAAAATCTCCAATTCAGGCCAAATAACTACTCAACAACTCTTGGAATCTGACAGATAATGACCTTGCTCTTCCCAAGGACTGTCAGAAGCTCTCGAGACTGGAGGGGACATAAAAGATCATCCAGTCCGCTCAATGAATCATTTAGTGACTGAAATTTGTCACTGGGACCCTTCCTGCATCCTCACAGAGGTGGGCATCGCACTGCCTTCTAAAAGAGCAGGTCCTTTGCCAGACAACTGAGTTTTTAGAAAGTTCTTGGTCATACCCAGTCACAAGGGCTTCCTAGCAGGACATCCAGCTCTTGATCTTGACATTAGCTCCTGGGGGTCTTGTTAAACAAGCATGGCCCCTCTCCCCAGTGAGGTCCCTTCAATGACTGGGACACGGCTTTTCTAATTTGTGTTTTACTGGATCTTCTCCAGGCTAAGGCACCTCTGGCCCATCAAGTTCCTTAAATTACCAATAAGGGTCCTATAGTCTACATTTTTACAGCCATTACTATGAATCCCCAGCCCCCATCTTTGCAAGTCCCAAGTCAAAATAAATAAGAGCGGTAGGGTGTGTCTACCACTCCATTCAAGGGGCTGCCCTGCCCCCAAACCCTCTCCACCCTCTTCACCTGGCTGATGTTCAGCAACTCCTCAGAGGATTTTGCCCTCAGGCACTGCAGCAGGGCCTTGGAGTCTGCAGCGTTGCAGTCGCAGATATTTGCGATCATCTGCAACTATTTCCGGAGAAGGAACAGGTTAGAGCACAGGACTGGAAGGCTTCAGGAAAATGAAAATTGGAAGGAGCCCTCAATCCAGCCACGGGCCCATCCATCGTATATGACGTCCAGCCTGCTGGCCCTCCCTGCTCTCATGTGCCTGTAGCGGAGTGGACACAGTGAGGACAGCTGGGCCCTGCATCATCCTTACTCTTACCTGACCCTCCTTGTCATCTTTAGCGATGCTGGAGCTGTGGGTGAGGATCCGTCAGTCTGTGGCCATGAAATGGAGTCAAGACTCCTGGTCATGGAGTGACCTGTGATGTCACAGTCCCATGATACTGGCTCCATTGGCACTGGGCCCACAGAGCCCAGAAGCCCAGCTCTGGGGTGCCAGATGGATTCAGAGGCTCCCAAGAGGGAAGATTCGCTCTGCAAGCCCTTTCATGGTCTGTTGAGGTGCAAGGTCAGCTCAGAGTTTCGGCTTGTTGGCCCTGCTCAGGCCTCACTCTCACCCCCTGCCTGGAGCGCCCTGAACAATTTCCTTCTGTCTCTAAGCCAGTTCCACTCACTCTTGAAGGCCCGGCCCCCCTCCTCCAGGATGTCCTTTCAGGCCACTGCAGCGCCTACGAATCCCTTCCTCCTCCGATCTCCCATGTCCCCAAGCACCCTGATCTTCTCTACCTAGCCCTTTGCTAAATACCTTCTTGCACTGGCACTGAACTTTCCACATGTGCAAAATTTGTCTCCTGAAAGGGGTGGTCCTTAATCTTCTGGAAGTCGTATATATTCTGAGAATTCAATGAAAGCCCCAGACCCTCTCCTGGGGAAAATGCAGAAACATAAAGTTTGCATACAATTCTAGGAGTGTGAGGACCACTTCCCACATATATTCGTGGGGTCCAGGTTTAAAATTCTTGTCATAAAATGATTACAGTCTTCTCAGGTTAGTACGTGCCTTCTTTACTTAAAAACCCACAGGTCCTAACACAGAGCTAGGGAAACAACGGGCAAGCAGCATGCGTGTGGTGGATGAATACACACACACACACACACACACACACACACACACACACACTAAACGTAGCTTGATATGTCATATTACCAAACCCAATTTTCCCTCTGTAGTGAGAGTACTTTTGCAATATTACAACTCTGTTTCTGCTCTTGGTATATGTTGCTGTTTCTTATAAACTGTTTGAGAAAATGCACCACTGACATGAACAATACCCAGGAGATGGCTCCATAGTCCAGTGTTTAATTAATATTCATTAAATGAATCAGCTCATTTGTGAACTCATTCATTGAGCAATCATTTATAGTCGGCTCGTATACACCAGACATTATGCTGGGACATGAAAGATAGAAGAGACCTTGGTCTCCAGGTCCTGGTAGAATGCAAAGACAAGATGACAGATGACAAATATCTGGGGCATATGACTCATCTTCCCCCTCACAATCTCCTGCCAGGCAATATTAATAAGTCACAGTGTTATTTCCTACTGAGCTGCAAACAGCATCAGAATCTTATTAGAGCACTCAAGGTGGAACAGAGTAAGTACAGGAGGTGAACTGTATATAATACAGGGGACTAAGACATCTATCACAAACAAAGAATAGTAGATAAAATGTGATTAACTGTCTCTCACTCACACACACATACATTCATGCGCACCAGCAGTATTGCACTGTGTACCTGGACCCATTTCCTATTGAACCAGGCCTTCCATGGAACAACAAGGCTCACCTTAGGCCAGCATCAGATTCTTTGGCCATGGTCGGTCAGGCCAAGCCCATGGTCAATCAACACCTGGCCAAGGAGAGGAAGCTGGAGAGGCGTTAACAATATACCTACATCCTTCTTTCTCTCTTCATCAGGGGCCTTCAGGTAAGGGATGATGGCCACCCCACTCTCCATGATGGCTTTGTGGAATAAGCCATTGGCCAATGGGGACAAAATCTGGAGAGAGAACACAGGAGACCCAGGAAAAGTTATCCAGGGAGCTTCCCACTCATCACACACCGCCCATCTCTTCTTTAAAGAAACCTTCCAGGAAGCCTCCTTAAGAGACCTTAAGAGAGAAAAAAAAGTCCCAGTTTGGGGGTTGAAGGACTAGTTGTGAAGGTTTGGGTAAGTTATATAACATCCTTGGGCCCCAGGTTCCTCATGGACTCTGAAGTCCAACATTCTGGTGTGTGAGTGCGAGCTCCTTACTTCCCAGCTGGAAGCTGCTGAATATTTCTTAGCATCAGTTTTGTAAGACTTCTCTTACAAAACGGGAGTAAAAATTGAGCCCACATCACAGAAGTTTTCTGAGGAGTCGGAGAAGTAATGAATAGAGAAGTCTTCGCACAGCGCTTGGTTAAGTACTAAGCACTCATACGATGGTGGCTGCTATCATATGTGTAAAGTTAACATAGTCCACCTTCCAAGGTTATCCTGAAGATAGAGAACACCTTGCATATTGTCAAGTGTTATACAGTGGAAGCTTAGCCCATCTCCCTGTAACTGACTTCTGTGATTACCACGTTAACTGATGCCCAGGAAAGACTGACCATGCGAAATTCAGAGCCAGTGAGCCATTCTCTGGCACCTCTGTATGTTTCTGTTCCCACCAATTTCTTGCTAAGAGTCTGGTGTGTTTGCTTCCAAACCTGTTTTGTCGATTACATTTGCTACTGTAATTACATAATCAATAAACTGAGACCCAATGGATGTATGTGTGTAAAAACCAAACAAAATTAGGTTTTGGGGGAAAAAACCCTTGATAGGGGCAGGTAGCTAAAATATGCGGCTATTAAAATAGGAGGTGAACAAGGTAAGAATAAATCACATGGGCGGAATAGAAAATTCCATAAGTGGCTGCATTCACAGACTACTTCACAGGCCTCTTCAGTGCAACTCACTCTAAGGACACAGAACCACAGTTTGAGGATAATGGATTCTGTAGGTGGTTTATGTAAGAGTCGTGCTGGACCTCCAGCCAGCAAACTGGCTCTGAAAAGATAAGACCTGGTACCAAACTATTGGTGGAGGAATGTGCATTTTATGTTTTAAGTTAAAATACAATGTTTACACACATCCTTTGTTATTCTATGCTTTTGCCGAGCTTTTCTATTAAACAGTTACCCGTCTTGACAATTGAATACCAGGGCTTCAACTGTACAAATATAAATGATTTTTCCTCAAAGTATCACTCACTATGTGATCTTGGGAGATTCATTTAAACTCTCTGATGACAGCCCTTGTCCTTACAATGAGACTGAGCCCCTAATTCACAATGTGAGTGAGGCTCAAGGGACACGATGTGTATAAAAGTGTTCAACATCAAGCACCAATCAGATGTAAGTGGTTCATCATCCTCATTTCTGTAACCTCCCCACCAAGGTTCATACAAGTCCCAAAAAAGAGAACTCACAAGGCTGGACACACTGATGGCTCCCGCTGACTCGCCAAAGATGGTCACAGAGCGTGGGTCGCCGCCGAAGAACTTGATGTTCTCCTGAACCCAGGTGAGGGCAGCCAGCTGGTCCATGAAGGCCCAGTTCCCCAGAGCGTGCCGGTCCCCTGTGCTAGGGACAAGAGGCGGTGAGATGCTCAGGGGGCCACTGCCCCCCACAGCCCAGGGAGTCAGCAGCAGAGGTGCGGGCGGGTATCAGGGCGCCGCCGCACCCGCTGGGGAAGGGCTGAGAATCAGAGACCTGAGGCAGCGGGGAGAACCAGGCTTGGCTCTCTCCCTCTGCTGGGAGTGGGGTTTGAGAATCTGAGGAAAGCTAGCTACCCCAGGGAGCTACACAGTCCTGTGTGTGCAGGTTCAGGGTATTCATAGCCTTGCTCCCTGAATCCATGGATTCCAGCAGAGCCCGACTCCCGAGGGTCAGTCTGCACCAGGGAGCAAGCCCTCCCGGGCACAGAGGTTCCAATGATGAAATGAATAATGGCGATAGTAACAGCAGCAGCAACACCGTGTGTGACACTGTCCGGAGGGCTTGACAGCTGACGCTTCCATAGCCCTCCCAGCTGGTGAGGTAGGTGGTACTGATTTTTCTCCCACCGTCTCTCTGGGTTCTATCCCCACCGTCTCCACACTCCTCCCAAAAGGCTGGCCTCTGAACTGCAGCACCCGGGCTTCCTGCTGTGTGTGGTCAGCGGGAGGCACTGGCCAGGGCTCGGGGGTGGGCTATTGAGAGACTGGCCTGTTTATTCCACCACCCTGGGCTCCTCTCTGCTGCAAGTGCTATGAGCAATGGCTGTACTTCTCCGAGGCCATAGCTCAGGCCACTTCCCTTAGTGAAATCTGCAGGCAAGCCCTAAGCATACGGCTGGATTCCTCGGCCCCTTCTTACAGACAGAAAAGCAGGACACAGAGAGAGTAAATCCCTTGCCCAGAACCTAAAATGTTGCAGACGTGGGATTCAAACCCAATGAGTCTGAGCCTGGAGCCCACGTTCCCAGCCACGGCCCCATGCTGTGGCCCATGCAGAGAGTACGTTGTCCAGGATGAGTGGACAATTAATGAGAAGGGAATGTAAGGCAATGGAGTGACTCTTCTCAGACGAGCACTTCAGGAGCCTTGAGATGGGGACCTATGGCAGAGACAATTAACTGCTCACACATTCTCTGTCCTCACAATCCAGGGCACACGGCTGGGCTACCTTTTCCCATCTCCCTTGTGCCGGGTATGGCCATGTGACCGAGTTCCGCCAACAGTATATGAACAGAAGTGATGAGCACCAACTCCAGGCTGACCCAGAAGGACCACCCTCACATGATCCTCCAACCTCTTTGTGCACCTGCTGGCCAAATGCAGAGGCACAAATGCTGGCCCTGCAGGAGGGCAGAGCCACAGAAGGAAGGAGCCCACATCCCTGGTTGACCATGTGGAAGGATATCTGTCAGTCAGGAACATTCAGTTAGATTTCAAGGGAGTGAGAAAGAGATTTTTATTGCTCTAAGCCACTAAAACCTGGACGTTTGTCTCTTAAAGTTGCTAAAATTAACTAGATAATTTGGGTTAAATTTGTTCAATGTCACCGAAGGCTCATTCCCCCTTAGGATGCTGGGCACTGAATCCCCTATGGCTCCTGCACAGCTGCCCCTTGGGGACCATGGGTGTCAACCACTTGGGGACGCTCACTTGAAGAAGCCAAACATTCCCAGCCGGTACTGGGTAGTCACAACCAGCACGTCCTCATAGGCAGCCAGGGCAGACCCATCGAAGATGGAGGCTGAGCCAGTCTGGAAGGCGCCCCCCGGGAGCCACACCATGACCTAAGGAGGGGAGAGGAATTTTCCAGTCAGCCTGCCGAGTACCCAGATCCTCTCCCTGTGCAAGTTCAGTCCTTCTTTATTTATGAAAATATGAATGTCTCACTATCCTTTCTAAAGAGCATCAGAGGTTTTGTCTTTTGAAGAAGGTTCAGGGTTACACGTGTGGGCTCTGGCGTCTGAGTACCTGGGCTTGATTCTGAGCTCTGCCACTGACGAGCTGTGTGTCCTTGGGCAGATTACCTAACCTCTCTGAGCCTCATTTATCTCATCTGTAAGATGTGAAAAATAAAAGTATTTCACTTATGAGGATATTATGAGATTGAAACAAGATTCTGCATCAAAGGGTCACAGAATAATGCTGGCACATTTCAGGTGCTCGGAAAGCATTGACTAAATATTGAACTTGTGACTCACAGGAAGATGGAAATCATTGTACGCCAAGTATGAGAGCAAAACAGCTTAAGCTGTTTTAATCTAAGGCTTTTGTCTACCTACAAAGAAAAGAGGGAAAAGGGAAGAGAAGTATGGAAATTTTACTGTATTGACTAGCAAAATTGGGACTGGGAAACATAAAACATTATTCAAATAGTATTATCGCTATTTATACTTAATAATAATGAATCCCTTCCATTCTCCTTTTTAAAGGTTGTATTAGGGACTGTAACATTTGGGGCAGGAAGGGAGAAGAAAACCACTGAGGAAAAAGGAGAACTGGACAAAGCATTGGCTTTGACGCAAGAATCTGCCACTTACTGCAGGTAGGGCATGGAGCAAGACCCTAAGGCCCTCCTTGTGCCTCATCATCTTCATCTGTAGAATAGGCCCAATTGCCTGACCCTCTGGGTTACTGTGGGGAGTAGATGAGATACTATACTGTGCCTGGCACATGTCAGAAACCAACAGATGTTGTCTCTAAAGCAACACAGCAAGTCTCCCCTTGCACTCACGTGGGGGAGAGAAGAGGATGATGGGAGGGTGCAGTTAAAAACTAGATAGTAGACTGTGCCTCTTTTACTCACTTATACAGGGATTTTTACATTTTTAAATGAAATGCTCCACCTTATTACCTGACTTTCTTCATTGCAAACAGAAAAATTGGAGAATTCTCTAAAAAAGAATTTCCAAGCAAACAAACAAAAATCAGAGTCCTGTTGAGCAGTGTCTTTTCTAAGTGTTTACAGACCATTAAATACTCAACAGAGGGGGGAAAAACAAAATAAAATCAAAGGTCAAAGTCACTGCCAATAAAGAAGCAATCAAAAAAGAGGATAAAGGGAATCTGATAGTAGAATGACTTTTTAAGGAAGTTATGGACCCGTCAAATGATCACATTTCCCTTTCACCCAGCAGGAGCCTGGGGCCGGTTCCAGACACCAAGCCATTCTGCCGGGTCCCAGCCCAGGGACCTGCCAGCGGGAGCGCCAGCACGCAGGCAGACTCACCGGGAGTTTGGAGCCGGCGTCCGCACGAGCTGGTGCGTATATGTTGAGGTACAGGCAGTCTTCCGACACCCGCAAACTGGGGAAATGCACCTTGAGAATGTGTTGATACGAGGGCAGCCAATCTGAGTTCTGGAGGCACCTGGGAAAAAGGGAGAAGAACCCACCAGGGTTGCTGTCAGCAAACTTGCCTGGGAGGGACCAGCTCTTGTGACAGTGAAGAGGCCTGCTGGTTTCCTTTCCCTGAGCAGAAGATGCCCATAGGGGCTCCTGGTATAAAGTTAATCATGCCTGCTCCTGATGGCCCAAACAAACTAATCACAATTCTCTTTGATTTGGTTCTTGGGTAAGAAAGTACACTGTGCCGAATAATTGTACCCTTCACCCCCGCAGCTACCCATGCCTACACCCATCACTATCCAGACACACACATAAAGACTCAGGCTGGTTCCGCAACTCCCCGAACTGTAGAGGTCAGGACACTGGGTTGCATATCATAAGCTTTGCTCAGGAAGCTCCCTCTTCGGTCCCCAGAGGGACCAAAGGATGTTTCCAGGCCCCTCCACCAGGAACCAATTGAAGTAGGTGTGTAGAGAGACTCCTGCATCCAGGCCTTTGCTCAAGCCAGTCCCTCTGTCTAGACTGCTCTCTTCTTCTACCTGCTTGCTCATGTTCTTCCCTTTCTTTCAGATTTAGTCCAAATGCTACCTCCTCCAAGAAGCCTTCTGAGATTTCTCCAGTTAAACCACAGGTATCTTTGGAAACACCTGCATATTTTGTGGGGGGGGTTTTCCCCTAGAAGTTCTCCTAGACTTTTATAGGAGTTTTATCATATTCCCCAACTCAACCATGAGCAGCTAGAAGCCTAGGACTCTGTATTGGTCACCTAAGTACCTCATGGCACCTATCACTAAGCCTGACACATAGTAAGATTAAGTGACGCCGTGTATATAAATGTTTCTACAAAGTGCTCAATTGATGTTAGTTTTTTGATAGAATAGTATACAGATTTGCTGCAAACCTATCCCCTGACAAGTTGTTAGGCCTTTTTTTTGCCCCTCTGTAGGTTGTTTATCAGATATCGGGGCCCCATGCTCTCAAAAAAGCCGTCTCTGACCGCCCCACCGCAAAGCGAAGCTAGTTGGTTCTCTGTGCTTCCTCAGCTCCTTCTCTGATCCCCGACGGTGGCCCTTGTCGCTCCACATTTCACCTGTTTATGTCCCCATCACCACTAGCAGTCTGCAGGTCCCTGAGGGCAGCTATGCCTAACCCACGGTGGTGTCATTCAGGGCCCCACGGAGTTTCAGTTAGTGAGTTGGTTCTCAACAGATATGAGCTGAATGAATAAATGAGGGAATGATCAGATGAGTTTCCGTTTAGTGTCCTCAGCCCCTGGGCCACATGGGGTCTTCTTTTGGCTTAGGGAGCTTCCTGGCACCAGGGTACTCCTTCTGCCTGGAATCCAAATGCCAGGAATGTGACCAACCATGAGGACTTGACAAAATTTGACAGTCAGAAGATTCTTGGGGATTTCTAAGTCTCAGCTCCCACCCAATGCATGAGGCCCCTCCACAACTCACTGGGGAGCTGGTTGCCTACCTGAGCTTGAAAAATTGCAGTGACTGGCATCTCCTTACCTTCCAGTCCCCCTGTGTCAATGAACCACACTCCTGCTGTCATTCTATAGGTATCTACAGATTTCCTACCGGAGGCCAGGCTCTGTATGGGGCACAGTGTTGACTGCTGGAGCTAACATTGCTTTAGTGTGACTCTTCCTTCTATAGCCCTTTTCTGGTCTGACCATGGAGACTAAGTCTAGCTGACAGGTCACGCAGAAACACCTGACAGTCCCTTCCAACCTGACTGCACGCAGGATCCTTAGAGAGCTTTCAAACAATCCAGTTTTCTGGGCCCAGGTCTGGAGGCTCCAATTCCGGACGTTCAGACAGGAGCGCAGGAGAGCTGCATGCGCTGAACGATACCATGCGATCACTGAAGCCGCTTCTGAAGCCCTCCCCTCCTCCTCCCTTTTGCCCCCTCCCACTGGCCTGCCTGGCCTTTCCCCCCTCAATGCTCTACCCTCTTTCCCGGTTGCAGGCCACCCGTCGGCCCAAGCCTGGTCTTACGATTTAGGGTAGGATGTGGCATCTCGGAAGCCATTCCAGGGTAACATAGGCTCTGGGTTCGCAAATCGCAGGGGTCCCAGGGGGGGAGCAGCAAAGGGGACCCCGAGGAACACATTCACAGGCATGGTGCTTCCCAGCACAGTGGCTTGCTTCCCCTGGACCCATCCCAGCCTGGTGGTCCTCACCGGCGCATCTCCAGCAGGCCCTGAAGGAACACACGGGGAGGAATCAGGAGCTGGCTGGAAAGAGGCCAGGAAAAAGCTGAACTCAGAGCTCCCCCAGTTGGGGGTGCTCTTTCTCTGCCAAGAAACCATAACACAAAGTATCTAGATTCCTTCTCAAGGAACCAGGTCCACTGCTTCCTTCAAGATTGCCTTAGCCATCACCTGCATCCAAGCACCAATTTAGTTCCTGCTAAGAGCACGGCACTGAGCCACAAAAGTTCTCCTGGTTACCTTGGGAACCCACCTCCCTCCTGTGCACAGAAGCTTCCCCGCCCTGTGAGACTGACAGTACACACCAGGGCCTGTAGGCCCTAGGACCCCACAGGATCAGCTGGCGCAGAGTTCCCCCACTTCAGCCATCGTCAGACCCACCAGCACAAGTGTCTGTGCATCACCTGTATTGCTACCAACTTCTTAATTTTCTTTAAATTAAGTTTAAATACACTTTTTACATTTACCTAGAGGAATCTTAAACAATAGCATCTATGGACTTATGATTTTCCCGAGTTAGGTATATGCTTTTGAGGACGCATAGAAGTAAACATACAGCAATGAAAATAAAAAACTCTCACACCGATGCCACCTGAAATCAACTCGTCTACCTCCAGTGGTCTGAGGATGACTTCTCAGCCTGAGAATACGGGCTCCTTGGTTTCCCCATAGAATCTGGAGCTTTGAGAAGTTAACTGCCCAGTTATTTAGTTAGCAGGACCCGGGCGTCTAGGTGCCACCTCTGCTAAGGTCATTTCAACAGGGAAGGCCCTGCCTGCGCAGCCAGCATCACAGAAGCACAGGCTCTGTCCCACGCCCCTGCCCAGTGCCCAGGGCAGAGGGCTCTCCAAGTCCCCCACAGGGCACGAACAGCTCAAGGGCAGGACTGGGGTTTTCTGTGCTCTACCCATGAGCCCCAGAAGGAGACTCTGGCTTTGGGACTTCCAACAGGACCAAGACATTGATTGGGTACCCCGAGGTTACTACAGAGCCCTCCATGGGATCTCAGAGACCTCTGAGCAATAATTTCATTTCCACCCATGGAAAACCCTCCGAGACAGGGAAATCCCCCGCCCCATCTCCTGGGAGCCTTCCTCTCCGACAGGGTGTCTCACCCTCAGTGGCAGTTGCAAGGACCCAAACAGCCCCGATCAGGATCTGGCCTGGGTACACCCACTCGCCACTCATCTGGCTGGCCTGCCTGCACTCCTGGACATGCACGGCAGCAGCTGGCCTCAGAGAGCTTTGGTCAGGGACGAGGGAAAGCTTCCTGTTAGTAGACGAGTGTGGAGCAGACACAGGATGCAGGATTGGTGAAGAACAGGATCAGACCAAGACTGAAGAGAGGAATTGGCCAAGCAAGTCTTTCCTGTTCTGATTTACATAAGAAGCCAGTGATTAACCCTTGAGTTAGGGAATGATCATTTGTTAAGCTTTGGGCTCACAAAATAGAACTAGATTTGGGATTAGGTAAACCAGAGACCTCAATTCAGATGCCTGCAGGGGCTGGAAGGCAGCAAACAAGCAGGGAATGCAGCTGGGTCAGGGGAACAATAGGGAGCGGTGGGAACTGTGGAAAACTGGACAGCACATGCTCTATCTGAAGGGGCACTGACTTCTCAACCCCTGTGAACATTTGTTTTGTGACAAAGTAGGTAGGCCAACCAAAATTAAGTGGATTAAGTCCATTCCACTTATTGCTCTATTTTTCAACATGGCCTCAATTTTTTAAGAAATCATAACAGGAGCCCCACACATTATTTCTGCTGGCTTGAGTTGAAACATGTCTGTTGTCGATAAGTTCAAAGTCATACAGCTTTTTAGACATGAAAGTATTTAGCTCATGTCCGGGCTGTAAACCGGGTGGTCAGTAGTGTCTGCTAGATTGGAACTAAAGGCACACCCATACACTGTGCTTTAAAAAGCTGTCAAGAAGAACGTGACTTGTTTTCCTGTCTTTCCAGGTGGGCTCTGCCTATTACTGCCGCCCTGAGCAGTGGTATGCTCTTGCCTGAGGCCTTGAGGTCCTTTACAGAGACCAGAGTTCCATCTTGATTCTTGCTCAGAATCAAGGGTGTCCTTAAACAAATCTTTTCCTCTGGGCCTCTGTCTCCCCATCTTATGATGAAGGTTGTGCCAGTGTTTTGGGATTACACATTCCAGTGACCCAAGTATGAATGAGGTTTCCAGACCGGCCTGTGACGCCAGAGAACCCTGAGTAGGACAGAGAGGTGGAGAGATTCCTGAGCTGAGGAAGAAGGTTGCTACAGGGCAAGTGAGTGGCAGTGGAAAGGCACAGACTCTGCCAGTTCTAAACAGCATCTCCGCTGGCCCTGTCCACCAGAGGTTTCAATGTCCGTTTTATCAACAGCTTGGAGGCTTCTTACACTATCTTCCTGCCCTAGCGCTCCCTAGTTGCCACCAAAAAGACTCTTCCTGTGCTACAGCTCTGTCCCTCCATCCAATCAGAAATAACATTAATCGTCTCTACTGCAACTCCTTCAAGTTATTAAAGTACCTTAACATGTACTCTCTTATTGTCACATCTCCCCCACCACACACCCATGTTAGATGCCTTGTTTCTTCAGTTTGTTTATCCTTCTAAGCCCAGTTCAGCTACCACTTCTTCCCGAAGAAGATTCTCCCGAACTCCTTAGCACTTTGCTCTTTCAGCCCCTCTGGCTCTCTAGTCAGTTGGGTACATGACGGCCTTCTGCCTTGGGAAGGGAGTCTCTTCCACTTATGTATCCAACACAACTTCTTCCATATGCTCTGGTATCTCCCCAAACTTGGTCATGGGCCTTCTAGCCTCACAATTGCTCCCAGTCCCACTATAAACTTGACCATCAATATACCTGAGATTTTTCTTTATATTGACCTGTTTATTTTCAAAGTAATCATTACACATCTAATGCAATGAAAATAGTGTTTTTGACATTACCTCTAGGCTCTTAATGTTCCCATCAGTACTACAGACCAGTGGCCTGAATGGCCCCTGAGAGACATAGACCTTTGATGGTTTCCTCTCTTCTCCCAGGTGGCCCTGAGGGGGAAGCCAGAATGAGAAAGGAACACTGTCCAAGGCCTGGCTTAAAACCTGTGTTAATCTGCCCTGCTGTGGCAGTGGATCAAAGGGCAATGACAGAGACCTCAGCATGAAGACCACCCTACAGGTGGACAAAACAAAGGGAGGATGCTCTGGAGACGGAATCAGGTCACCGGGCAATGGCCCTCACACCCCACATGGGCGTAGAGCTGGACCATTAGAGCTTCCTCTCATAACCTTTCTTCAAGTTCAACTCACATTCATGTTAAACCAAATATATTAAAGGATGTTCAAATCTTTTTCCATCTAGATCCATCCTGTCATTCCAGGTGGCTGCATCATTGCACCCCCATCACTGCACCTCCATCACTGTACCCCCATCACTGCACCTCCATCACTGCACCCCCATCACTGCACCCCCATCACTGCACCTCCATCACTGCACCCCCATCACTGCACCCCCATCACTGTACCCCCATCACTGCACCTCCATCACTGCACCCCCATTACTGCACCCCCATCACTGCACCTCCATCACTGCACCCCCATCACTGCACCTCCATCACTGCACCTCCATCACTGCACCCCCATCACTGCACCTCCATCACTGCACCCCCATCACTGCACCTCCATCACTGCACCTCCATCACTGCACCCCCATCACTGCACCTCCATCACTGCACCTCCATCACTGCACCCCCATCACTGCACCTCCATCACTGCACCCCCATCACTGCACCTCCATCACTGCACCCCCATCACTACAACCCCCATCACTGCACCTCCATCACTGCACCTCCATCACTGCACCTCCATCACTGCAACCCCATCACTACAACCCCATCACTGCACCTCCATCACTGCAACCCCATCACTACAACCCCATCACTGCACCTCCATCACTGCAATCCCATCACTACAACCCCATCACTACAACCCCCATCACTGCACCTCCATCACTGCACCTCCATCACTGCACCTCCATCACTGCACCTCCATCACTGCAACCCCATCACTGCACCTCCATCACTGCAACCCCATCACTGCAACCCCATCACTACAACCCCATCACTACAACCCCCATCACTGCACCTCCATCACTGCACCTCCATCACTAATTTACTACAAAGGAGCCAGGAACATACTTTGGGGAGTGTCAGGGCCTCCTGTGAACTTTGCTGAGTAACTACAATAATAGGTTCAAGACTCTGTGAGTAGGAAGGTGGGAGAAAAATGAGGCATAACTTTTGCCTTAGCTCAGATTCAGACAAGGGCATCACCATGTAAATGCAGGTAACTAATAGAAGATAGATTGTGGTAAATTCTCCGACTGAGATTTGGACAGGTATGGGGTGCAAAGAAAGAAGATGGTTAGCTCTGGCAACCCAGAAGATAGCCACTTATTTTTCACCCTTACTTATAGCAGTTGGATCAATAGCTCCCAGCCCCTAGTCTGGTCCACTCCACAACTTTAAGGGTACTTTCCATCCTATCCTCTCACTTTGAGCTTCAAACCAAGACATCTAACCCTAAGGAAGTTGCAGGGCCATGTCCAGGGAGAAAGGGCGCTTCAACCCCTCTCAGAAAGAAGAGTAAGGAGCAGGAAAGGGCCCACACCTCCCTGGACCAGACCCCACTCCCCGAGGCTGCACCCGGAAGCCTGGGCAAAACCTGACCTGCTTGCTCATGTGCAAAGAGCTCTCTGCTCTTCAGCTTTTTCTCCAGGGGATTGCTAAGTGTTCTGCTTGCCTGAGGCCCTTGCTGGAGCATCTAACTGCTAGGGACCACTTCCCAAGGTCCTCGGTGAGAAACCAAGCACGCTGCCACCCCCAAAGTCTATAGTGCTGAGGCTGAGAAACCCTGGGCTCAACGCTACGACAGACCCTATATTTGACATGTTCAACTTACAAAAACAGCAATTTCACCTGATCCCATATTGGGTTTCTATAAATTTCAATTTAAAGAGAGGGTTCCAAAGTGCTCTTATGCATTGCAAATTATTAATCAAAATCAAATCTCTCACTGCACAGATGGCAACCATGTGTTCCAGAGAAGATACGGGAATTTCCCAGGGTCACACAGCAAGTGCGCTGGATCCAGACCTCAACACGGGCCCCTGGACACCTGTCCACCCTTCCTGTCAGGACAAAGGCCCGACCCTCACTGCAGCTCAGTTCTCCCACCGCGGGAAATGGCTTCTTCCCAATTTGCCCCTTCGATTCTCGGCCCCAGTTGTTTCAGGGACGGATGCCTCCCACCCAACACTTGGGCTGACATTCGTCTATAAGATAAAAGAAAATCTGTTTGCTTAAAAAGGAAGAAAAGAGGAACAAAGGAACCTTATCCCCAAACAGCCACGCGAAGCGAGGCCAGCTGCCGGGAACTCGGCAAGATGAATACCATGCACACTGCTCGAGAGAGAAAAGGCCCCAGAGAAGCAGGCAGGGGACGACACAGCTTTCCTCTTGAGGAGAAAGAGCTTTGCCTCCAATGGACAAGAAGCTTTGCACTGTGAAAGAATGAGCCCAGTGCCATCCTATAATAAAGCTGGACAGGGGCCTCCGGAGTCCAGGGGAGCTTGTCCTCCAGGAAAAATGAAATTGATGCCACAGCCACATCACAGGGCCGAGGACACACAGCCTAGAGCAGAGCTCTGCTTGTCAGAGTGGGGAGGGACCTTGGAGATTGTCCAGGGGCTGAAGTGCAAGCCAAGGGAGCAGAGTTGGGGCGAAGAACAAGAGTCAAGCTTGCCTCCCTCTGCAGCCAGAAGCCGGGGTGCTGCAAGGCGGGCTCCATGCCGCCCTGAACTCCACTTGTATCACGGGGCGGGGGGGCGGACAGGTAACCAGGTTCTTGGTGATCAGGGACAAAAACTGAACCAAACACACAGCGTTTATAGCAGAAAGCAAGAGAAAGCAGATTTATTAAGCCACACAGGACATGGGAGAAGGCCAGCTCTGAGCAGAGCAGAGCCTAACAGCCTAACAGCCCTGACCTCAGGGGCTAGAATGCTTTTATTCCTTTAGGGTCTCCCATGATTTCCTTGACTGGCTACTGGGAAGGGGGTCCCCACAATGCTAACTTATTATAATGCTATTATAATGAAGCAGGGGTCAGGTGGCATCTCTTGCACAGGTGTATT